CTGCATTTTTAGATTTTCAAAAAAACTCATTCTGAATGATTTATAAGCCTTTTAAATTACGGGGACACTCAAAATGTCCTCATAAATCACCTTGTTGTAATACCCATGTCATTATACACATTTGTGTCCTCATAAACATGCACACACACACACACAAACACACACACACAGGTTTTCCTATCATTATGGTGACATTCCATTGGAGTAATGGGTTTTATAATGTCTCCCCCTACACTAACCCTACCCCTAAACCTACCCTTACGAAAATGTATTTTTCTCATTGGACCCAAAAAAGGACAATAATTTCAGATATTGCCATACAGTATATGGGTTTACCTGAACCACCCACACACACACAATAGTGGTTATCATCTTAGATAAATCAGTTTGGTAACACTTTATTTCGATAGTCCACTTTAGACATTCTATTAACAGTAAGTAACTTTGCAACTACATGTCAACTAGCAGTTAGTAGAGTATTAGTAGACTGTCTGCTTAATATCTTCTAACACTTTCTTTGTCAACTTATTCTACTAACCCTAAACCTACCCTAACAGTCTACTCTGAGAGTTAGTAGACATGTAGTTGCAAATTAATGAGAATTAGTTGACATGTAGTTACAAAAATACTTATAGTTAGTAGAATGTCTAAAGTGGACTATCGAAATAAAGTGTATCCATCACTTTTAGTGTAAAAATAATTCAGTGCATTTGGTTATCCTTAAATTGCAATCACGTTCTATAGAAACTAAATATCTATTGAATCTATATCTATAGATGCACCAAATGATTCACTGATTAACCTTAAGATGAGTTAGATTAAATAGACATATGTATTAAAATGAATGAGAAGACATGCTAACGAAAAGTTTGATAGTAATAGCTTTATGAAAGGCAGTTACTGTGAATGAAACATTTATATAGATGAAACACTTATTTTGTGTAGTGAAAAGGATATTTTGTGATTGTGTGTATTGTACTAACACAATTGAAAATATGCTGAAATTTTTGAAAAAAAGTGCACTTTTGATGATCTGTTGAGATATTAGTACTAAGAGTTTTGAAAATTGACCAATTGCTTGTGAAAATTGCGCCAAAGCAATTAAAAAAAAAACTAACTAATGTTAAATAATGAACCTTGTGAAGTGTTACCATTTATATAAATGTATCTGTATAGCCTACAATAAAGCTACAATACCAACTGTCAATAGGACGTTTCCGGCAGACAGCAAAAATTAATTTTGCATTATGTCACAATACGAGGTAAATCCGGCCGTGTACATGATACTGATTTTTGTTGCCAAATTGGTTTGGAACAGTTGTTGAATAAACAAGTAAACTGAACTATTATGCCTGTCTATCTGCTTGACTGACAGTTTTATTGATCACTGAGAGAGCATTGACTTGGTAGGATGTTGGTTCAATATAAAAATGACATTGTTAAAAAATAGCTTAGATGTAGCAAACTACTTTTGCCATGTTGCTGTAGCTTAGCTTGCTACATTTCCCAGGGCTGTAGCTCTCACGTGGTAGTGGTTGTAGGAAATGCACACGGAGAGGGAGTAGAAGTAAAGGAGTCTTTAATAAACATCAACACACTATAACCGTTGAAAATAACATTAATCCAGGACGAAGAATAGAAAGAAACTGAAGCCTTATAAAGAAAGGGGAACAAAGGAGCAAACGAGATGATTAAACAGGTGATTTGACTGAACGAGGATTAACTAAACGAGAACAGGAACGGAACCAAATAAGGGCAGACAGGAACTAAACAGAAAGAAACATGTGACAGATATCGCCCTCCCTCCCTGAAGACGCGTCCCGCGCCATAACAGTAACATCGGGGAGGGGGAGCGGGTGCCAGGGCGGAGCAGGTAGTTCAGGTTGTCATGGCGGATCAGGGGACTTAGGAGGCCATGGAGGATCCTGGCCTGCTCTGGGGCTGGAGCGAGCTCTGGGGCTGGAGCCGACAGCCTTCTCCTCCTTAAATTCCTCCTTTGGTTCGGGGTGGAAGGTGTGTTCGGCGGGCTTGAGTGAGCCGCGGCCTGCGGGCTTGACATCGGTGATCGACTTGACTCGGGAACGGCCGGTGGGCTCGACGGCGGGCTGGTTCTGGCTCGGGCATGGACACTCCCCAGACACCGGAAAATTCCTTCCCTCCAGCATAGTTCCTTGGTGTCTGGGAGGTCCATGGGGCGATGGTAGTTGGCCCTGAGCCAGAACAGAGAATTGATGGTAGCGTCATCTAATGCCGATGCCGCGGCAAACCCCCGCAGAATTCCCAGGCATACCCGAAGAACGGGAGATCTTGGCGGGTCTAAGGCGGCAAACCGAGCGGCTATCTCCATCACCACGGGGAAAAAGGGGAAAACAAAACACTTTTCAAACAGGCGGAAAACAAACATGGGGAAAAAAGGCGCTGCTCACTTTCAGTTTTGGGTCCTGGATTCTGTCACGCGGTAGAAGGAGTAGAAGTAAAGGAGTCTTTAATGAACATCAACACACTATAACCATTGAAAATAACATTACTCCAGGATGAAGAATAGAACGAAACTGAAGCCTTATAAAGAAAGGGGAACAAAGGAGCAAACGAGATGATTAAACAACACAGGTGATCTGAATGATCGAGGATTAACAAAATGAGAACAGGAACTGAACTAAATAAGGGCAGACAGGAACTAAACAGAAACAAACATGTGACAGTAGCTTTAGTGTAGTGAAGCTTTATTTAATGAAGAGTAACAGTTAGCTTAGCTCACTACATTTTCCAAGTTGCTTGCCCAACACTGGGTAACTACGAGGACAAATCAAGCACAAGGCAAACAGGAGCTGGAAACAGACACAGAAACACTGGGAACCAAACAGGCAATATACATTTTTTGGAAAGGAATGTAGTTCGTTTGAGAACAGAGAAAGAACGTTCCATTAACAGACTCTAGCATCATGGCCACATTACCACTTCGGCAGTGCATTATTTCTCCAATAATTTTAACGGCCTGGAGTCACACCTCAAGACATTGTTCACATATTTTATTTCAAGATATCTGTAATGTTTCTGTTCTGAAAACATGTGTGTTGAACTAATTTACGCACCTCACTCAAAACCTTTCGTTGCTAATTGAAAAACATTATTTTAGAGCTAAAAACTGAGGTTTGAACCATTGATATGCAGGCTAATGCAGTTGTTAATGCAGTTCACTCAAACTGCCCGTTGCTCCTCCATGATTCTCACAGTAAATGCAGAGCTGCTCAGATGCAGTGCCAGGTTGATATAATATGCTGAGCAGCTCTGATAACCCTCCCTGAAAAAATATCATCATACATTAGAGTGCCATGAGAACCCCTAGAAAGGTATTTCTAAAATCCACATACCTGGTAAGTGTGCACGTTATG